AGGCCTCACGGTCGTTGCTTGGAAAGATCATGTGGTGGTCAAGGCTTTGGGGTAGCTGGTTTAGGAGCCTGGGTCTGACGAGCATCAGCATCCTTTAGGGATTATGGGAGCAAACAACTGCTGTCTCCCACCTGGACAAACATGACTTCCTAGTAACTGGAGGTTTCCTCTTTGCCCCTAGTGCACACACTGATTAATAATCTTCAATTATTGCTCTAAAGCACTGCCAGGCTATTACTTTCTTGTTTACAAAGTTATAATGATTCCTCTATTAAAGAAATCCGAACTTTGTGGTTTGGCATTCAAGGCTTTCTATGATCTGATTCCAACCACATCTTTTTTTTTTTTCAACCAAGTCTTTTTTTTCCCCAGAAAATAACATAAATTTTTATTAATTATATATTTATATAACAGCATTCGCCTACATTTTCATAATGTCTTTTTGGGCATTTTCTAGCTAACTATTCTTTTTTTTCTTTTTTAGAATTTTCTTTTTTTCCTGTTTTTTAAGTCAGATAACAATTAACATAGAACATTCTGTTAGCTTTAGGTGTACAACATCATGATTCAACATTTGTATATATTGTGAAATACCACAGTAAGTCTAGTTAACATCCATCATCAAACATCAATTTTTGTCCTTGTAGGTGCCAAAATGGTAAAGAATCCACCTGCCAATGCAGGAGACTCAAGAGGTGAGGGTTTGATCCCTCGGTCAGGAAGATCACCTGGAGTAGGAAACGGCAACCCATTCCAGTATTCTTGCCTGGAGAATCCCATGGACAGAGAAACTTGGTGGGCTACAGTCTATGGGGTTGCAAAGAATCAAACACGACTGGCCACGCAGACAATGAAAACTTTTAAGATCTAACCAAGGCTTTTGAGCTCATTTCCCTCTTCTTTCTATGCACACCCTTTGTTTCACCAGGTGGATTTTCTGACACTCCCCATACTGGTCTCTTCCATGACTTTGTTAATTTTCTTCTTACTGCCTGAAATTCCCCTCCCATTAATTTGTATCCATCCTTCAAGGCCAAGTGACGCATTATCTCCTCTGAAGAGTCTTTCCTGGTGAGGGATACAGAGAATCAGATGGACCTGAGTTTGAGAACATACTCTACTTCCTGGAAGACTTCAGGCAGGTTACTGCATTTCTCTAGGGCTCAGTTTATTCATCTGTGAAATGGGGAAGTCAACACCCACCTTGTAGCCTTATAAAGTACACATGAGTCATCATTGCAAAATACTTAGCACAGTTCTTCACACTTGGTAAATGTCAAAGAAAGTTACCTATTGCTCCGATCATTCCAGAGACTTGAGGCCTCCCTTTTGCAGGATTCACTTTGAGTCCCTCCTATATTCTTCCTTGTAAACTTAATTTCGCATTTTTGAAATGAGGACACACACTTTATTTTCTCTACCTTGTTGCTAGAGTCTCTGAATCAATGGCCACGAGTTTGAGCAAACTCCAGGAGATGATAAAGTCTGATGTGCTGCTGTCCATGGGGTCGCAAAGAGTCAGACACAACTTAGAGACTGAACAACAGTCTGACGGATGACTCCTTGAAGATGGGATCATGTTTTATTCTGGCTTATGCCCTTGCCTTTGCCCACCAAATACAGGCCCTCAAACCAGAGGCAGAGGTTGGCCTTTAAGGTGTGAAAGTCAGAATGGACAAGAATTTGCTTTGTCCTTATTTTTCTCTTCCTTATAAAAATTGACTATAGTTTTAAGGAAAATAACTCAATTTCTTTTGATAGGAGAATCCCAGTTTGGGGGTTTCTGTTTCATAGAAATAGGGAAGATTGTTCATGCAGCGGCTGGTGAAGACTGATAAATTTCATTTAAATCTTGGAAAACTTCATGGGTTTGCAGGCCATGGTAGTCTCAGCTCACTGGGCCAACCCAACCATATTCCAGCATGCATTCCAAGTTCCCCATGTGTGACACTCTATGGGGGAAGAAAAAAGTGGTTTCATATTCTAATGAGTTAGAAAGCATTAGACTTTAATGACCCACTCATGGAGAGATAGAGGATAAATCAAGGAACTAAAATGTAAGAATTCCTGCAGCAAAGAAAGTAGCATCTAATAACTAGTCAGAATAACTAACATTCATGGGGCCAGACACTTTGGCCCCATGACACTTAGCCAGACACTTTGATAGTAGGCCTTTTTCATTAATTCTCTAATTAAATCCTCCAAGTGTCCTCATAAGAATGCACATAATGGGCCTTACTTGACAGATGGAGCGACCTGGGTCCAAGTTCACAATGCAATTAAGGGGTGGAGTTGGGATTTGAAGTCACATGTTTGTGACCCTACAGCCTGAGTTCTGGAGCTCTGTGGTGTACAGTGTTATGCTTTCCCAAATTTGCCTGGCCAGGAGGTACTTTTGGTTATCCTCTTGTTAACGACCCATGAAACTGACCTGAAATAGACTTGAGGAAACAGAGCCTCCTCACCTCCCTTGGGAGCAGCCATGGCCTTTACTCTCCTTGCTCCCTAGCTTCTGTCTAGATGCTCTTGACCCTGTGATCTCTCCCGTGATATTTCACACCTCCGCCAAGGTCTAGTTCAGATGCAACCAGAAGCTCTCTTTGGTTTCAGCTGGCTGATTTACAAAGCCCCTCTTCAGTTTTCCATAAACCTTCCAGGCTGTTACCACTTGGGGTCTCCATCAAGGGCCAAGTTCAAAGAGCCTGGGCAAAGCTTCTGGCCCTCCCTGGACACATAATTAAGGTCTATTGAGTTGCAATAGTGTCTCCTCCCCGGGCGCCCGAGGGGCTGATTCCCGAGGCTGGGGCTTCCCAGGTCCGGATCCACGGACTCGGGGTGTGCGGCTGTAGCTGGCAACCTGGGCTAAGTCTGGTTCCAACGCTTTTCAAGGCTCAGACAGCGTGGCGCTCGCACTCTGGCAGTTCATTAGTTAACGCGCTCGTCCCTCACAGATGTGGCCTCTGTCCCAGCCTCTGTGAGGTGAGGAGGCACGATTAGGTCACACTGGGCCGCACCTCAGCACCCTTTTTGGGGACAACCCTGACCCGTCTTTTCCAGGTTTCATCGCAAAGCCCCACACCCCGACTCCCGCCCCCTGTGGCTGCGCCCCAGATGAGTCATCTGGCTTGGGGCTTCATTAGCAACTCTAATTGCCTTTTTGTTTTGGTCCTCTTTGGGGCCTCCTCGGGGCCCAGAGGCGGGGCCTGGGGGCTCTGGCTTCCAGAAACGCCGCCAGCCTCCGTGGGAGCCCGAGATGGGAAGTGCGCGCTGCATCCCGGGGCGAGTCCCTCACGCCACGCCGCGCGTGGCCGCACCCATCCCCGGGGTGCACTCAGGCGCCACGCAACCCCTGGCCATCCCAGCTCCCCGGCTGCCTGCGATGAGGTCACGGGGTGGGGTCCTGGAGACCCCCTCCAAATAGGGCGGGGGCTTCCCCAACTGGTCTGGGAATGGCTGGAGAGGACGAGAGGGAGGAGATGCTAGCCTGTTTGTCCAACCCACTGTTCCCCCTCTGGAGGTTGCGTGGCTGGCGTGGACCGTCCAGGAGGGGGAGAAGGAAGCAGAGAAAAGTCCGGGAAGGAACCGGACAGTGAAGGGGAAAGGCTGGGGTCCGACTTCCTCCGCTCACAAACGTAGATAGAGAAAAGGACTGAGCTCTCTCCCCACAGCCTTGCCAGTGAGCTGATGGAGCTGCCTGCTCAGTTTTCTACAATCCCTGTCCTTCCGTCTGATTTTAATCTCTTTCCCATCCCCAAGAACCCCCAAAGGCAGGGGAAGCCGCTGTAATCCACTTTATGTCATTAGAATTTGACGCAGAAGGAAAAGCTTTCCAGAAACAGCGTCAACCACTGGTACCCAAAGAGCCCTTCGGATGCCGAGAGCCAGGGCTCCTGGGTAGCACCCCACTTTCTCACCCAGGCCTGACCGACCTGTGATCAGTTTCTGCCAGCAGTGGGTTTCATAGATCCAGGTCACCTTGGTGTCCCAAACCACTCAGACTCCAGCAAACGCACAAGGTTTTCTAACCTCCGCCTGCAAGTTCATGTGTGTGCGTGAGGAATGACTGTGAGCTCTGATAAAATCTCAACCTGCCGGTGGGGGGAAATTTGCAAATCTCTTTTTTTTTCTGTATCTAGATTTTTTGCACCTGGAATTCTCTCTTGAAATTATGGCAAGACTGATATCACAGGCTTTCTCAAGGAAACAGAAACACACATTACTTAGGTTCCCCTTCATCTAAAACCACAAGATGCTTCTCCTACGATCCCGACACAGGAAAACAGGACTGTCATAACCCCTCTGCTTCCTACCTGCTTCTGAGGCACAACCAGGAGGACCCAGCCACCCGATTCAGTCCATAGCATTGTCTGTCAACAGCGACTTTACAGATTTTGAGTTGAACTCTTTCTCCCTGCCCAGGACATAATATCTGTAACAGTCCTTTTGTGTCACTCCAAAAGATAAGTCAAACGATTTATTTAACTTTTAAAAAACATAGGCTGCAGGAGAAGCTCATAAGAATTCAGAGTGAGCACACTTCAGAGAATTTCTGTGCTAATGGTACAGTCTTCCATGGGAAAGATTTCTGAGTTAATAGCAAGATCACGGTTTTGGAAGTTAAATTGCCTATAACGGGATAAGAAAACATAAACACTCTGACATTGGCAATACATGAGCCCGACAGCACACTTGCAAATGCTAGGCACATCAGACTGGAGATTTTGAAGACCTGCACACAATTTCTGAGAGAAATGGCATTTTTCGTGTACTCAGAAATGGTTCACAGAGGTTCCTGTGACAAGCGGAATAGAAAGTAGGAGAAACACTACAGCTGAGGATTTCCGACCTCTGACTTATCATTTGTTGACATACTTTCTACAAGTTCCCCATTTCCCTACAAGTAGCTGTCCTCAATCCTTTCAGTAAATATTGCTGATGAAAGCCAACAGGAGGGGGGTAGAAAAAAAAAGAGAAAACACGCAGTGAAAAGGGAAGCTTACCTTTTCTAGGCATTGCTGACATCAAACCTTCCACCAAATCATGAGGCTTTCTTGCTTCTCTTGTCCCATGAATTCAGAAACCATTAAACAATGTTTCCAGCAGAAATATGTGTTTATTATTTGAAGCGGCTTCAAAACAACTCAAAAAATAGCTTGATGAAAAATAAAGTGCTGGTCTGCACATGAGAATACTTTTGAAGCTTGGAGCTCATACTGTTGTACAAAGTTTTGCAACTGTCTTTCTCGGTTTAAACAACCTCCTGCTCCTCCCAGGCACTTGCCAACTTCTATAATTTAAAGCAACTGCGATCCTTCCCATAATACTCACATTTCAAAGAGCTTAATATATACTCTTGTTAGGAATGAGTGGGAGTGGGTGACGTCCTGCAAACCCCAGGCTGAGGCAAATGAAAAGCGAGGGTTTCGGATATCTAAACGGTTCTATTTCTCTCTTTTATCCATTGCTCGCCTCACCATGTTCCTTCAAGTGGCTTTTGCCTTTAAAAGTGATGCCTTAAGACTGAGTGGTATCACTTCATTGGAAGCAAATAGCACACAGGAAAGTTTAGGTCCCCATTTATGGAATAGTGATGCTAGTGAAATTGTGTTTAAACATCACTTTTACTGACAATTATTTCCATACAATTTCTCCCTAATGCAGCTGTTTGAAAATTTAAATTAGTGTACACTGTGTTTTACTAAGAGGGGAAAATATCTAAAATGATGTTATTTGCTTTCTGCAAGAAAATTATCATCTCTGGGAAGGAAATTTCAGCTACCATGTAGCTGAATAAGTCTTCTGACATTAGACCTGTAATCGATGTTAGCAATTTTTATTATTTTCACCACCCTTCCCCAACTGACATTGAACACATAGGCACACACATGCACACACACACATTTGTGAGTTGAAATTTCAGCCAGCTTCAAGTGTGGTCAACTGAAATTGGTGATTTAAAAATATTTATAGTCTATCTTAAAGCCTGTCTTGCTTAGCACCCGATATATGGCAAATACTTAATAAATATTTACTGAATGGATAAAATATTGCATGGGTTCAGATCAAGTAACGATTGTGAAAATTTTGGTTTGCATTTATGTTCCCGTAGGGAAAGTTAACATGTGGAAGCTTGTACAGAGAGTAAACACTGGACAGTGTGTACCTTTGCCAGATTTAATGAATGTTTATGACATAAAAAATTCCCTAAATGAATACAGAAAACATTCATTAAATAAAAAACCATTCGGCAGAGGATAGAAATATTGACAGAGGCATGATCTATTAAGTAAGCTCATTGTGCAAACTTATGCAAACAAATTTCAAGACAAGAACCTCATTCATCATCTCAAAAACTACAGATTATTTTTCCACTGTGTTTTTGAGTTGTCTTAAGTAACTTTTATTATTCTATGGATAGAGGGTAATGCCTCTGGAATAGAGCAAAGAGAGAAAGGATCTACAACTTCAGGGAATGCTTAGGTTTCTGATTTCCTTTGCTATAGAAGCAGAGTTCATGGTGGAACATATTTTTGTTTTGGCTTATACTGCGGAGACGTCCAGAGACACAAGCATAGGTGATGTCATAGACTTGGATCAATTATCCCAGATATGTGAACTCTGATGTGTTACTTACTTTCTTTCTTCTCTGCCCCTTCAGTCATATCTGACTCTTTGTGACTCTATGGACTGTAGCCCACCAGGCTCCTCCGTCCGTGGGATTCTCCAGGCAGGAATACTGGAATGGGTTTCCATGCCCTACTACAGGGGATCTTCCTGACCCAGGGATCAAACTTGCAGCTTCTGCAGCTCCTGCATTGCAGACAGATTACCCCTGAGACACGAGGGAAGCCCAATTTATTGAGTGTTGGTTTCTTTAATTAATAAAGGTTAAACACAAGTATGTTCAAATAACTGATTTGCATATAACACCCCTAATACTGCATTTTCAGTAATATTAATAAGCATCTTAAAGAAGGCTATGTGACAAAGAATCGATGCTTTCGCATCGTGGTACTGGAGAAGACTCTTGAGAGTCCCTTGGATTGCAAGAAGATCAAACCAGTCAGTCCTAAAGGAAATCAACCCTGAATGTTCACTGGAAGGACTGATGCTGAAGCCAAAGCTCCAATACTTTGGCCACATGATGTGAGGAGCCAACTCTTTGGAAAAGACCTTGGTGCTGGGAAAGACTGAAGGCAAAAGGAGATGAGGCAACAGAGGTTGAATAGCATCACTGACTCAATGGACATGAATTTGAGAAAATTCCGAGGAGACAGTGGAGGACAGGGGAGGCTGGTGTGCTGCAGTCCATGGGGTTGCAAAGTCGGACATGACCTGGCAACTGGACAACATGTTTAAGGTACTTAGCAAGATCTGTTTATGGGATTATTGTGATTTATCACAGCGCCTAGAGTTATTTCCCCTGACAACTACCAAAATCGGTAATGCACAAGGGATACTGCTAACAAAATCTTAAACTTGGTGGCATTGGCCTAATAGTCAGGAAGTAGCTATTAATTTGATACCAAGTGTTGGAAAGATGAGATGCTGTGTTTTGCAGCGACAACACATTTGGTGAAATTAACACCTGTCACAACTTGGAAGGTCATGTGTGCCAAGTAACTTTGTAGCTCTAGAAGGAGAAAATGGGGGAAACATCATTAGTTGTGTGTGTTGGCCACTATTGACTGCATTTGACAAATGTTTCAAGAGTGACATGAACCTAGGAATGACATAGCTAAGTTACAAAGGAAAATAAAAGGGAATACAGAGATAGTACATAGATTTGATGGCTTGCAAGAGCCTGACGATTTTTTGAGGGACTTACATTGCTAAAATAATCATAACCCTATACAGAAAATGTCATGAAATGATGAAAACAACTTCTTCCACAAATAAGAAGTGGACTTCCTGGAGGGCTGGCTCCTAAACACACATCTTAGAGGTGGAGGAACTGCTGGCCATTGAGAAAAAGACAAAGGAGTTGCCCAAAAGAGCAGATCCAAGACTGTCCAGAGCCTTCTCTGTCCACGAGGTAGAAGGTGGGTATATCAGCCTGGCCACATGTAGCATCAGTGACTGCTGTGATTTCTGCCATTTTTTTCTTTCCTGGATGAGGATTTTTATTATGATTATTCTGTGGCTGTTATACCATTTGTATTGTGTGTATGTGAGAGAGAGAACACACTTGGCCTTTTGGTTTCTCCATCACTTTCCTTTTCATTCATAGGACACTGAATAAAGAGATGCCGCATCCATGGGGCTTCCTTGGTGGACTAGTGGCTAAGACTCCATGCTCCCAATACAGGGGACCAGGGTTTGATCACATTCCACAGTGAAGACTAGAAGATCCTGCCTGCCACAACTAAGACTCAGCACAGTCAAATAGATAGATATTAAGAAAGATGCCGAATCTGGACTTAACAACAAGAAATTCACAGAACCCAGAAGACCTGGACTCTCAGCCAGTTGCAGTGACCAGATGGAAGTTGAGATTGCTTCCTTTGAGGAGGGGTAAGCGTGCTCTGTGTTTGAAGAGAGGGAAGGAAATATATTCGGTGACCATAGGCTAAGTTACATGGCAGATACTTTTAGCATTTACAGGTGTCTACATTTTCCTCACCATTTCCCAGCCTCCCTTGCAGTACAGTTGACCATGTGACTGATTTCTGACCAATGGGGTGTAAGCGGAAGTAATATAGATTAATTATGGGCTGCAGTAGTTAGAAACTGATATTCCGTGATAGCTCAGTTGGTAGAGAATCTGCCTGCAATGCAGGAGACCCCAGTTCAATTCCTGGGTCAGGAAGGACTGCTGGAGAAGGGACAGGCTACCCACTTCAGTATTCTTGGGCTTCCCTTGTGGCTCAGCTGGTAAAGAATCTGCCTGCAGTGCGGGAGACCTGGGTTTGATCCCTGAGTTGGGAAGATCCCCTGGAGAAGGGAAAGGCTACCCACTCCAGTATTCTGGCCTGGAGAATTCCATGGACTGTATAGTCCATGGGGTCGCAAAGAGTTGACCATGACTGAGCGACTTGTGTTTGCACTTGCTTGCACTATACCTACTCCACATTCTTCCTCTCTCCCCTGTCTATAGGGCAAGAAGCAAAAGACTCAGAGGTGCTGGAACCCCATAATAGAAGGAACCCCACACCACAAAGCATCCCTTAGAAGAGTGCTACCCAGGAGAGTCACCTGGCCTGCATCAGACATTATTTAGTGACATGCAAATGTATACTCGGGGGCTTCCCAGGTGGCCCTAGGGGTAAAGAACCCAACTGCCAATGCAGGAGATGTTAAGAGACACTGGTTTGATCCCTGGGTCAGGAAGAGACCCTGGAGGAGGGCATGGCAACTCATTCCAGTACTCTTGCCTGGAGAATCCCATGGACAGAGGAGCCTGGTGTCCATGGGTCACAAAGAGTCGGACTTGGCTGAAGCGACTTACCATGCACACAAATGTATACTGAGTTCCCCCACTGAGTTTGGGGATTAATTTGTAAGGATTTAGCTAGCATCAGTTATTCTAATACACATTGTTATCTTGAAAGATACTTAGAATACTGATTGAGATAATAGATGTAAAAATGCAGAAAGGGCCTAACACAATAATAAGTGCTCAACAAATGATAGTTATTTTTATATTAGCCATTATTTCCCACTTTCGTGCTCTTGCAAAATGAATCTAGCTAAACACCAGTTGTATTTCTATAAATTTAGGTTTTCTGCACTGTGTGCTGATGGGCAAAATAAATTGGAGACCATAATAAGATTAGAGACCAAAATATATGCTGAAAACAAAATTTATTGCCTGTCTTCTAAAATATATGCATTTATTAAGAAAGTTGTCAGTATTGTCTTGTCAGATTTTACAAGCAACCTTCAAAGCAGGGGATAAAGAAAGTTATAAATTCCAAGTTACAAATTAAGTACTCTCCTTAGCTTCTAACCGGTATAAAGTCCATTACCTAAACACTTGTTTTACTGTGTGTACACAAACAAAGTCATCCTTCTGACATTGA